TGCCATTTTCGTCTTTCTTTACGGACGAATGAATACCAGAAAGTTCACCTCTGGCCACTCCCCAAAAAAATAAATGAAACTCGCGCAAGCTTCCTCTCTCACAATCTCAAGATGTAACTCGAATTCATACAAAGGAAAGACAAAGAAAAACAGAAAAGGTGCGAAAAGAAGGCATATCAAGATTTTTCAAAAAACTCTCGTTTCTACCCTGAAAAAATCAACTATTGTGTTCAGACAAGCGTTGAACTAGCCTAATATTCATTTTCTCACATGCAAAACGCAGGTCAATCATTCTTCAAGTAGAATTTTCAGTTGGGCATTTTATCAAACAGTAAATAGGCATGAAAAATTCCAACAATTTCCTACTCAAATGAGGTCGTGGCTGGCCTCAAAACTATCAGAAACAAAAGGGACTTCAATCCAATCGACACATAAAGCATGTATATTCTAAAATCGTGAACAACCAACAAGAAAATTGCAATAAACAAAGTCACGGCAGACATGCTCTGAGAACTTCAAGAGCCTGTGATTGAAGAAAAGTGAAGTTTAAAGGAAAAGGATAAGCTTATAGTGCTTTCTCTTTCGGTGAAATTTCGCAGGTGGTAATGGAAGAATTTCGGAACTGGCAACAAGCTTCAATCCCTCCGCCAAGTCTTTTCTCTTTTTTCTTTCCTTCTTGCCCGCAATTCTTCCTCAGTTTCTCCCTTCTTGCTCGGTTTCTTTTTTTTCCTTTTGTTCCTTATTTCCAGATTTTGCTCTCTTGTTCCCTCTACCCCCCCCCCCCCCCGGGCGGAAGCTCCTTCGGTCCTTCCCAATTTTTCAGATTTTCTCCCTTTCTGTTCTTTTGCCCCCTTTCCCTTTTCCTCCGTTTTTTGCTTTTTGTCCGTAGTCTTTTCTTGCTCTTTTTTTTTGCCTTTTTGTTTTTTTCTTTCCTTTTTCACCGCCAACTCTCCCCTTTCCCCTTTTCTTTTATTTGTTTTTTTTGTTTTTCCAATTTTTCTAGGCTTCCAAGTGTCTTGCCACCTACCTCCTCCGTTTACATGTGGTATCAATAAAACGGGGACACTTGTTCTATTTGCATGCACTAACACTTGTCCAACACTCCCTTAATACACTTGTTTAATGCTCCTTTAGCATACTTGTCCAACATGCAAACCCCCCACCTATCTTCCTATTTTTATTTATTTATTAAATTTTTTGTTTTTTCAAAAAATCAATTTAGGTAAACAAGGAAAAAACTAATTCCTAATTGAAATTGCATTGCAAAAAATTTTATTTATTTTAAAGAAATCGAATCTAAGATGATTAAAATATATTTTTGTGAAAATTTTCCTTTTTCAGAATTTTAATGCAAAAATATCTTAAAAATTATTAACCTAATTTATAAAAAATAAGCAAAAAAATAAAGACTAACTATCATATAATCAATTAAAATAAAATAAAATAAAGCTAAAATTGAATTAATAACAAATAAAGCTAAAATTGAATTAAATAAATGAAATTTTGGTGTCTACAATATGAAACAAGGAAACATGGAGCTGGTTCTTTCACTTTTTTGAGGAGTTTTTTGGACCATTCAACAGCCACTTACCTTTAACCTTTATGAGTGATAGGCAAAAGGTACTGCTCAAAACAATCTATTCTTTGTTTGGACTTGTTGAAGGATCTGAAAAAGCTTTTTTTGACTCATCTATTTGTTGTTTCAGACGCTCAACCTTGCTTATGATGAGATTTTTCCAAATGCTAGTGACAAATATTGTTGTAGGCATATTTGCAGCAACTTCAAGCAGTAATTTCCAGGCATGCTGCTTAATAGTTTCTTCTGGAAGGTAGCAAAGAGTCTTGATCACATAGACCACAATGAAGCAATGTCAACCATTAAAGACATCAACATACAGGCTTAGAAATATTTGAACAAAATTCCCAAGAAGACGTGTAGATATGCATTCTCAAAAGAAATTAAATGTGACCATGCCACAAATAATTTCACTAAATTGTTTAATTCATGGGTTGGTGATCTCAGGGGCAAACCCATACTTACCCTTGTTGAAGGTTTGAGAAGAAAGTTCATGAAGAAAATGCACATGAGATACCAAAAGGGATGCACATTAACTAACAGAATCACCCCAAATTTGCTGAAAAGCTCAAAAAAATTGCTCAAGCATTGAGGCATTGTACCCTGAATATGGAAAGTGAGGATACATTTGAGGTTGTGATATAGACAGATCATTCTTAGTCAATTTAAACCAAAGGACCTATGATTTTGGTGCCTTCCAATTAGTTGGACTTCCTTGCAAACATGTTGCACTTGGCATTATCTACAAAAGGGAAAAGCTGGAAGATTACTGCGATCATTGGTTCTCCAAAGACATTTACTTGAAGGCATATGCTCCTATGATTCACCTTATACCTCATGAAAAGAGGTGGCCTTCTATGCATGAAGTTACCCCTGAGGTTGTACCGCCCCCTCCTTTGAGAAGAGCTCCTGGTAGACCAAGAGTTAACAAAATGAGAAAAGCTGATGAATGACCTTCATCTCAGCCAAAAAGATCAGGTACCTTAAAGTGTAGAAATTGGGGTTAGTTTGGTCACAACATGAGAACATGTCAAAGAGCTCCTGTGCAAAGAAAGAATCCAGCCAATACTCATGCTCACCAGGTATCATCATACACACATTTTTACAAATTAATTGTTCTTTCTTGACTCATCAACTGCTTATGTTGTTTACTTCATAACAGATGCCAACTAGAAGAGGGAAACCAGGCAGAGGAATTGCAAATTTAGGACTACAAGGATCTGTTATAAATCATGTTTGAATTATGCAATTAGTTTGCAGTGTTACTTAGCCATATTACTTTAACATGTAAATTTGTTATGACAGGATCATACACATAGGAAGGTGTCTATTGTGCATTCAAGTCAAGGTAGCAATTCGAGTCCTTCTACTGGAAATGCTACCATAAATGTTCAGGTTAATGTACAGACAGGTACAATTGCCTCTAAAAGAAAGGTACGGGCTCTTTTGTTATGAAATCCAATCTAGTGCTGCTACATATGTATTCAGTAAGGCACAAGCTCTTCTATTTTGAACAATTGCAGAGAGGAAGGCCTTCAAATGCCACTTCGACAAATGCTGCAACAGGTTCTCGCAGAAGAGTTGCACCAAAACTTGTTCAACCAACTAATCATCTGTCAACAGCTCCTATTCAAGCCCCTGGTGATACTTAACTGCTACATCTACTATCATGAATGCAGCTACAACTCTTAACTCTGCCAATATTAGCACCACCAGCAGTTTTAGCTTGCATTTCTAATTACTACTGTTATACTTACATTTCTCTTCTTTTGTACTTAGTGGTGCTTTGTGAATTATAGTTCATTAACATGATGCCTACTCATGCTTTTGTAAATGGTGTTATGTGAAACTATGACTAAACAATGGTTTTGCAATCCTCACCCTCTGCTTGAATTGCTTCAAGGCAGATGGTGTTTTGGATAGTCTTGGATTGCATTTCTATTTATTTAATGTATGGTTATGAAATCTGAAATGATATTACTCTTGGATTGCAGTTTTGGTTTGCACCTTATTACTGTTAAGGTTTCATAAATGACTATTTTAGTTCTTAGCTTGTTTCATTTAATGGATCTGTAATGTTGCAACTTGAGCATATGACAAATAACTTAGTCTCTGCATTGCTCATGAACTTGTTCAATTCACTCTTTTCCACCTTAGTTTCTGCAACAAATCACTCTTTTCCACCTTAAATGTTGATGCTTAAAGTGAAAGTGGCGTCCTTCTTAATGCTTGTCCATAATATGTTGAAGATAAAAAAAACCCTATCCAAAGTCAAGGTACTGCCGTGGTGTTCCAGATCCAAAGATCAAGATCTATGGATGTTGGCATGAAAAAGAGGGGAGTTGATGAGTTCCCACTATGTGTCCACTTGGTTAGTTGAGAAAAGAAGGGAGAATGTCTCCAGTGAAGGACTTGAGGCTGCTCTGCTGCTCTTTACATGAAGTTTTGTTTGTTTTGGTCTTGGCACATTTTTTTGGCCTGAATTTCAAGGGATTCACCAAGTTCAGCAGCACAGACTATGTCAAATAGAAGCAAGAGAATCGTATTGTTCCAGATGGTGTTAATGCCAAGGTTTGTTGCTGCTATATTTGTTTGATTTGGAGCAGTTTTTACTTGTATTGCTGTTCTTTGATTGTACTCTTGGCTTTTGGTTGTAAGGCTAGTGCTAACTTGGTTTTGTTCAAATCTTGCAACTTCCTGGTTGCCACGGACCATTGGCTAACCGTCAACCAGGAAGAACGTTTTTACAAGCAACTTCTTAGTTTACTTTTTTAGCATTTTGTCTCTAGTACTATTGGATGATGTATACCTATTGGATAGCATAACTTAGATAGTTCATAATAATTCTTCAACAATTCTTCAACATTGCAAAAGATAGCAGTAGCCATTGCTACAACTTTGTGCAAGTAAATGGTCAATGACTCTTTTTCTTTATTTCACTAACATCCCCTCACTTTTTCTAATTTATTTCTGATTTTTATTAGTTTTCATTGGGTTTGTTTGGATAGTGTATTATTTGAAATATTATTTGGAATAATTACTGTAACACTTTTTGTGATGTGATGTATGTGAGATAAAAAGGTGGGTTGGAAAATGTATCTATGATGCAAGCGAAATATTATTTGGGATAATTGGGGATTTTTTTAACTTGTACACTTACCTCATGAGCATTTATGGGAATAAATTTCCCTCTCTTTCCTAAAAACACTTTTTTATGTTCACTTTTGACATCATGGACTGATTTTGTTACAAAATCCTAAACCTCAAGGGAGGTCAATGTCATTGTGGAAACCTCAGGGGAGGTCAATGAAATTGCCAAAAACCTCAGGGGAGGTTTCTGAAGTTATCCCTAGATTTAATGCTCACGGGTAAATTTCCGAATTGTTTTATTGGGTTTCAAGCTTTTCGATTTATTTCTGTCGACCAATTGTGTTTGATTCGGCAATGGATAGCAACAGTTGGAGGGCGCCTCAAGGCCAGATGGCTCAGGGTCCACCTCAAGGTGGTCAAGTAGGCGGCAGTGGAGAAGTATCGGCTGTCCCAAATCCAGCTCCGCCCGCTACTATTGACAGCGGCGATTGGAGGACTCAACTCCAAGCTGATTCTCGTCAAAGAATCGTAAATAAGATGTAACCCCTCGTTTTCTTTTTGCTTTGTCTCTTTACTTTGGATTATATATGTATGCAATTTTTTTTAAAATTTTTTTAGATTGATATCTGGTTTGGAAACTGGTAAAAAAATTTTTTTTCTGGACTTTCTTGAAGGCTCTTACCTGGGTTAAAACTGTGATTTTTCTTATTTAATGTAATACTAGAAAAATATATTATTTGTTTAGTTGGTGTTGATAATTATTTTTCCAGTATGAATAATTAATTTTCATTGGGTGTGGGAGACTAAAATGTTTGAGATTCTGGATGATTTTATGGTATTATTGGGAATGGAGTTGAGGAAGAATTGGAAGCTTCTTGGAGCTTCCAATGCTTCATGGGCTCTGTCTTATTCCTGAGGAGTGTATGTTAATACAATATGTCGTTTGGATAATGTGTTGTATGTGTGGAATTCTTATATTTGTAGCACTACTACATCTTTTACCGAGAATGTGTAGCTTTGAACTTATTTTTGCCAGAATTTTCCTCTTCTGATATTTTAAATGCATGGATTCCGTTGAAGGACTCCTTGGTGAGATTAGAAAATACCGAGTTGAGAGAGTTAATATGTTGAAGAATGAAATCCTCGTGTCTTTGTGTTTCAAGTTATATACATGGAGTTGAAAAAAGTTTCAAGAATGAAATCCTCATATCTTTGTGTTTCAAGACTAAGTTCTCTTCTGCCTTCCCTCCTTCACTTCTTCCACTTCTTGTCACACTTCCTCTTTTAATTCATGCGCTACTTCTACAGTACTTTTATGGCTTTCCTGATTAACACAATTTGTTTGGGAAGCCATGATGTGGAAAACTGAAATTTAGAAGACTCTGCATTTAGTATAGTTTCTAAACTCTTGTAGGTTTACTTGCTATTGGTTTTCCTTTATTGACTTTAAGATGCTTGTTTTCCTAAGTTGATTTTGCATGGTAGTGTGCAACTGTGGAGCTGGTTTATGATTTTGTTTCCTGTTGTTGATGTACTTCTGTAAGGTTGTAAGCAGATTTTAGTTTAATTTTCAGATGTGCTCACATGTGCAGAATGGAGACTTTGAAGAGGCATCTGCCATTCTCTGGACAAGAGGGACTGCAAGAACTTAAGAAAATTGCTGTGAGGTTTGAGGAAAAGATTTATACTGCAGCAACTAGCCAGGTAGCCATGCAATTCTGCAGCATGTATGGTCTTAATGTATCACTTGCATCCTTTTTCCATTGATCCTGCGTGGAATTTTGCTGTTGGTCCATTTTATTAAGTTACTCTTGTTTCTCATTATTTGGTTATTAATTTTTTCGTCTGTACATGATTTATTTTTTGCAGTCAGATTATCTGAGAAAGATATCTTTGAAGATGCTGACAATGGAAACTAAGTCCCAAAATCCCATGGCTAATCCGCTACAAGCTAATGCTGCCAATGCAAGCAAAAATCCTCCAGACCAAGGTAATTGGATGGCATATTCACTTTCTTGGATTGTGGTACTGATCCCCTCAACTTTTTCATCTGTCATCTTTCTTTTTTGAATGTAATAGGAGTTGGTGCTGCTAATGTTCTCTAATATTTGCCTGTGCTGATGCCTTGTTACTTTCCTCTTCATGGCTAATTAGTAGTTTTGATGACCTATGATGTTTTTGTGCCATACTTAGATGAATTAATTATGAACCTTTGGATCCAGTGGCTTTGTTGTTTCTACGAAGTTTAAAAGATGTTGTCTTTAGTAGTCAGGCATGGATATTTGTGAGGAACTGACGGAACTATATGAATAGGTATCTTACCTGTATTAACAAAACCCAACGTGCCATGCGGTCCAAGTGCGTCTATGTTTTGGTCTGACAAAAGGTTGCCAGCTTGACTAGCCATATAAAGTTGTCATGTGGTCTATCAAAACAACAGTTAATGATTTCCAGAATTTCTCTCAGGCTTTAATCAGCACACCTTGGAAAATAGGAAGACATTTTTAAAGTTACGTTACATAGACTTGGGTGGTGTCTGGGTGCAGTTGCATGTTGAAGTGTCAGATTTCCGTATTTGAAAATTACAGGATCCGGGGATATTTGCCCAATTTTGGGTACAGGTGTGTGGTTGCATCTCTTATACTCGTGTACATAAGATTTAAACACAAATCATTCTAAAATATCCAAAACTTGTTTAAAGCATATATGCTAAGAAAAAGATCAATTAGATGTGCGATTAAATTGAAAAGAAACATAAGCTGGGTTACAACGTATTTCAGTAGGAGGGGATGAATTATTATTGAAAAGGGAAAAATTGCAGAAACATTAAGTTACTTATTCATTAATTAAAGTTGAAATAGTGGGGGCAAAGTAGATATTGTTGTCAAACCCTATCTCTATCTTAGTCATTCTGTGCTGCCGTCACATCAAAACAGAGTGCCTCTTTTCAATTTATCATAGCCTCTCTTACTCTCAGATGCCACGATTTCACATCTTCCTCCAACAAAAGAAGCAGCCCTTATGTCTGCAGTGAAAATACACCATGGGATGTGAGTATTTTTCTTTTGAAACTTGAGTGGCTTTGGCTTTCCCCTCTTTTCTCCTCCCTCCACAGAACCACCCTTCTTCCTCTTCCATTCTCTTCTCATCTCATGAGACTTCTTGCCCATCTCTCCTCCTTGGCCATCAACATCGCATCACAACAGTTGACATACCCAAAAGCTTTTGACTGTGTCAGGTGCATATCCCGTCCTGCCTGGGGTGAATGAAGATTCCAGGTAACTAACACAAAAGTATCTTAATTAGGAGTCTCTAGCCAAGCGTGTTTAGCAGGAATTTTGGTTTCATGCGTTCAGTTGTTCCTTTTTTGGTTTTGATAGGCATTTTGGTAAGTTAGCTCTTTTTCCGTAGGATTTTATATTTTGTGTTTAGTACTTCAGCATCTTGTCTTAGAGTCAGATTGGGAAATCTTGTAAGATTTGACTCTAATTAATTGTATGATTGAAGGATATTATCCCATATGAGAAATAAGAGTTAAATCTAGTCAACATATTACGGACTTAACTTCATGTAAGCCCATCTGTTGTTTACTGTCTTTTGAAGTTTATGAGATGCAATCTAGCTTTCTTATGATGCCAAATAGTGAGCAGTGGTACGTGCAGTTTCGTTATCAATATCTTCTTTTATCCAGAATACTGTTTTATCTGATGTCCACACAATCAATGTTTAATTGCTGTTTTTGCACATCCTGATCTTCAGAGAGTATTGCCAAAAATCCAGTGGCATACTAATCTCTCTCTCATATGATCTTATTGTCTTAATTGGATCTAAATGGGTGATTCAAAATCCACTCACTTTACACCCACTAATTAAGCTTGCTTGGATTTGTCAGTATCTTTCTAGGCCTAAGGTTTCTCTTGCTGGCCACCTCTAAATGGTTGACTACTGTGAGTTGTAAACTGAGACTGCATCAAAAAAGTTGATGGAACATTTAGTTGCAGAAGATGTATGTACTTTTTGTTTTAAAAGGTTAAGAAGGATTGGGGTAGGTTATCACCTGATTGCTTTGGACTTTAGTGTTACTGCTTTTGGGTTAGTTTTGGTACCATTTGTTGTTGTGCTTTGCTGGTTTTGACATTTGAGATAAACGTCTTTTTCCTTTGTGGTTCTATCCTTTCGATGATGTCTAATGAATGAGTTCTCTCCTTCTCCATGTGCATCTGTTCATCTTGATAGCTGTCCATGGCATGCAATCCCAAATTCATAACCAGCCACTTCCCATGCCAGTGGTGAGCAGCCAATCACAATCCCGACAACAGCTGTTACCACAAAACATGCAGACTAATATGACATCAACTGGAGTCCAGAATTCTGCTATTTTGGCTTCTACACTTCCAACTGCTGGTAATTTGCAGCAGGCTCCCATGCCTAATATTGGTCAGAACTCCAATTTGCAGAACATGCAGAGTGTTCCCAGTGTTTCTCAGAACCCAGTAGGGAGTTCCATGGGACAGGTGATGCCTTCAAATGTTTTCACTAATTCTCAAAGACAGATGCAGGCTAGACAACAACAGGTTGTTCCCTTGCAGCAACACCAGCAGACACAGAATCCACAGCATTATCTTTATCAACAACAGCTGCAGCATCAGTACATGAAAAAAAAGTTACAACAAGGAGGAGGAATGGCACAGCCCCTTATGCAATCTCATATCCAGCAGCAGCAGCAGCAGCAGCAGCAAAATCTTTTGCAACCAACTCAAATTCAAACCTCCCAGCAAGCTGTTATGCAGCCATCTGTAATGCAGTCAGCTCCTCTATCTGGCCTCCAGCAGAATCAACAGTCTTCTATGCAACAACTGACTCAACCAGTAATTCAGCAGCAGTCTCAAGCAGTTTTGAGGCAGCAGCAACAGCAACAGCAACAACAGCAGCAACAGTCGCAACAGGCTTCCATGTTGCATCAGCAGCAAACCTCCATGGCTCAACAGCCATTACTGCCTGCAGCACAGCAGCCACAGCAACAACAGCAGCAGCTGATTGGGCAGCAGCCTGGTGCTACAAATATTCAACACAACCAGCTCATTGGCCAACAGAATAGCATGCCTGATATGCAGCAACAGCAACAAAGGCTGATAGGCCAGCAGAACAATATGCAGCAGCAGCAGCAGCTAATAGGTCAACAGAACAGCCTTTCGAGTATGCATCAACAACAATTGGCCCCTCAAAGTAGCGTTTCTGGGCTCCATCAGCAGTCAATGCTAGGGACTCAACCTGGTAACTCTGCCCTGCCAACAAGTCAGCATTCTGTCATCATGTTACAGCAATCTAAGGTTGCGATACAGCAACAAATGCAGCAGAATGCAACAGCATTGCTACCAAGCCAAAATCAACAGCCACAGCAACCGCAGCAACAGATGGTATCACAGATTCAAGCACAACCAGGGGGCCTACAACATATGCAGCAGCAGTCAAATGCGTTGCAAAGAGATATGCAGCAAAAGATTCAACCTACAGGTTCTTTGCTTCAACAGCAGAATGTTGTAGAACAGCAGAAGCAGTTATTTCAGCCACAAAGAGCCCATCCTGAGGCATCATCAAGTTTGTGCTCTTTCTTTTTGAATATTTCCCAAGTAGTTTTTGATTATTTCGTTTTCAATGTTATTTGATCTGTTCTTATGTTGTGCATTTCTCTATAAACTTTTGCGCACTTTTCTCAGGATAGGATTACGTACTTTTCCAGAATTTGTGTATTGATCTTTAAACATCCTAATGTAGGTTGTCATTCTGATAACATGCATTGAAGTTAGCTTGTTATCCCATCATGATAAGATTTTGTGAATTTTTATTCTTGTAGTTTTATTTGAAACATCTGCTTGGTTATTAATTCTTAGACATCTTTAAGGCTATAGTACCTTAATTTTCACTAATTTGTTAAATGTTGGCCAATGCGTTTTTATGTTCTACATTTTTAGGCAAAATTATGTTTCATCTTTTGCAAATTATGTTTGTTTATGCAATTTCTTGCTTGCCATGGCAATGCTCCTATTTTTTTCTGCTACTCGTGCTAATCTCATCTTTTATCTCACAAGTAATTATTGCCTTTGATACCAATAACATATATGATATCCTATTTGAAACTTTATGTAGCTTCGTTAGATTCAACAGCTCAGACGGGGAATGCAAGTGGTGGAGATTGGCAGGAGGAGGTTTATCAAAAGGTATTGATATACGATCTTTTCATTTTCAATTAGGAGATGTAATGGTATAGAATGATTTTTTAGCTTCAGTATGTAGATTCCATCTGCAACCATGTTCTCATTTGCAAAATTAACTTGCAGATTAAATCCATGAAGGACATGTATTTCCTGGAATTAAATGACATGTACATGAAAATTGCTGGAAAGCTGCAACAGGTATGTGTAACTTATGTGTGATCATTGTTCTATCAAAGCATTGCAGAGTGGTACTTTGCAATCTGCATCCACTTTTCAGGTCTTTAAGTATCAATCTACTAATGTGTTAACCAGGAAGAAACAGTCAACTTGTCCTCTTATCAAGTGCAGTGAGCCAGGAAAAACTTTTCGTTTGTTCCCGAGTCCATTTGTCAGTCATGTGCTTGTTGATCAAGTATAGACAATGGGCTTGTGCATGCTAGTGCTTGTTATTGTCCATACCAGTATGTTTTAGTTGCAGAAATGGGAGAAAATTTGTGGGAGAAACAAAGGAACAAAATATCTTAATTTTCTGTTAGAAAGGTTCATTCTTTTGTTCCCGATTCTTATTAATGAAAGTCTTGTCCTTTTGTAGCATGATTCTCTTCCTCAACAACCGAGAAATGAGCAGCTTGAAAAGCTCAAATTCTTTAAGCTCATGCTGGAACGCCTAATAGGATTCTTGCGATGTACCAAGAATGACATTCAGATCAGTCACAAGGAGAAGTTGGCTTCCATTGAAAAACAGATAATCAATATTCTTACTACAAATCGGCCCCGGAGGCCCGTTTCTTTGCAACAAGTGCAACTTGCCCAACAGCAAATGTCCAACATGCAGCACTCTCAGCCTCAGACTCAAATTCCTCAAATACAGCCCCAGGAAAATCAAATGAACCAACAGATGCAGCCAATGAATGTACAGAGTTCCATAACACCAATGCAGCCAAATAGCTTGACCAGCCTGCAGCAGAACACATTGTCCTCTGTGCCACCAGTTTCGAATTTGCAACAGAATATGATGAGTACCCTACAGCCTGCTTCGACTTTGGACCCAGGACAAAGTAATACTCACCCATTGCAGCAGGTAGCTATAAGCTCTTTACAGCAGAATACTGCCAGTGGTCCTCAAACAATGAACATAAATTCTTTATCATCGCAAAGTGGCATGACTGCGCTGCAATCAAACCTCAATAATGCTCTACAGCCTAATTCGACTATGATTCAGAACCAGCAGCTTAAACAACAGGAGCAGCAAATGTTGCAAACCCAGCAATTGAAACAACAATTGCATCCCCGTCAGATGCAGCAGCAGCTTTTGCAAAGACAACAGCTAATGCAACAACAACAGCAGCAACAACAACAGCAGCAGCAACAGCACCAACAAATGAAGCCACAGCAGCAGCCTTCACAGCTGCCCGGACACCAAATGTCACCACTACATCAGGTAACTGATTCAAGTGACTTGAAGGTGAGACCGCAGATAAGTGTTAAATCAAGTGTTTTCCAGCAACACCATACCAACAGCCAGCGAGCGGCATATCATCACCAACAGTTGAAGTCGGGAAGCCCATTTCCTATTTCTTCACCACAAGTCCTTCAGGCAGCATCGCCTCAGGTTCCCCCTCATGCTTCGCCTCAAATTGATCAGCAGAGTATGCTGACATCTATAGCAAAAACTGGAACTCCATTGCAGACTGCAAATTCACCCTTTGTGGTCCCATCTCCTTCGACTCCCTTGGCTCCGTCACCTATGCCTGGCGAGTCAGAAAAACTAAATTCTGGCATTTCATCCCTCTCAAATGCTGGAAATATTGGACCCTCGCATGCAACTACTGTGTCTGCAGCAGCCCAATCACTAGCAATTGGCACTCCTGGGATATCAGCTTCGCCATTGCTTGCAGAATTTACGAGTTTGGATGGAGCTCATGTCAACACATCAACTGCAATGCCATGCAAGCCACATACTGTCGAGAAGCCACATGAACGGTTGATTAAAGCGGTTAGTTTCTATTATAATTTTACACGAACCGAGTTCTTTGTTTAACATGGTTCTGCACCTTCTCAGTTAGAAAATAAGATCTATATTTGTCATTTTCAGGTAAAATCAATTTCAAATAAAGCATTGGTTGCCTCCATTGATGATATAAGCTCAGTTGTCAGTATGGTTGATAGGATAGCTGGATCTGCACCAGGCAATGGATCAAGAGCTGCTGTTGGTGAGGATTTGGTCGCAATGACAAAATGTCGCTTGCAAGCAAGAAACTTTTTCACACAAGATGGACCTACTGGAACAAAGAAAATGAGGCGCTCTACGAGTGCAATGCCTTCCAATGTTGTTTCATCTGTTGGTAGTGTGAATGACAGTATGAGGCAGTTAAACGGTTCTGATGCCTTTGAATTGGAATCCACAGCTACATCAAGTATCAAAAGGGCAAGGAATGAGGTTTTTCCATTTCCTTGTCCATCATTATTGATCTAAAACAATTTTTTGTCTAAAACAATTGAGCCAATGCATAGTTTGTATATGTGGAAGTTACTATCTCCATGTTTGCTTAGGATTGCAAGCTATATGCTTTTCTTATCTTACTCCATGGTAGATTAACTAATGGTGAAGGGAAGCTAACCGTCTCATTCCATCTAAAATTTGATGATGTTAGAAGAGATGTTAGCACATCTAGTTTTAGAATCTTACATGCTTCCTTTGGTCAGGGTCTGATATGTTTGTTTTCCCAAAGTGCAATAGACAATGTGATGTAGAACCGCAACCCAGGATTCACTGTACCTACATTGAAGTTGTCCGGAGCACCTTGTGGCTCTGAAGGAGATATGCTATGCTATTTGCCTCCCTCCCATTTTTGGAATTAAACCTGTGGGAATTGTTTGAACATATTAATGGTCTCTTTATGTGGCATAATTCTCTTGCAAGTTGGCAATTCAATATTTTTAAGTTTTCAATCTCCTGAATCACTTCTTTGTATTATTGATTTTCAAAATCAGGTTTTTGCTCTTCTCCTCCTCTTTGATTCTTCTGCTGCTTTCCTCTCATATATTCTTGTTCTCTGCCATGGGCGAAGGCAATGAGGATACGTTGTTTCCAGACTGCTGGTTTGTGGCATCTTTGATTCTTTGTTGCAGCCTCTTGGTTTTATTTGCTTTAGTTGATCATAGCATTACTATGTAACGCTCTGCTTTGGTGCTTTATAAACTGGTAAGCCTGGAATAAAACATACTAGTGTTCAAGGCACACACTTTTGTGCAACCAGTAGGAAGAATATTATAAAAAATTTTGAGTATATTTGTCGAAATCATTTTCAGTAGAGTTGGTTTTATATATTTGATGATATAATAGTAGAAAATTCACCAAAATAAAGTGTTTAAATGGATAGTTATTTGGTAACCATAATTAGGAGTTGCTAATAAAAATTAGGGTTTATAAATAAGTGGAAATTAGAATAAAAAGAAATACATGGTACTTTGTAAGAGGATATAAGGTAGCGGTTTAGGAAGAAGATAAGGTGACACAAAATTGTTTACACTAGAAGTCCCCTCCCCCTATATAGCATAGATTTCTGTTCTGAACAGGAAAGTTTATTGTTTTTAAACAAATACCAATCAACATGAAGTCTGAAAATCATCACGCTGATTTTCTGTTATCCATTCTTAGTCATCTGAAACTAGCATAGCTTATTAGATGTGTCTGGCATCCAAGCCAGTTGTGGATGTTTTTGTATTTAGTGTAGATGCCTCTCCAGATGCTTATCATTGGACTTATGTGGATTTCTGTCAATGATGCACTTATTTACTGATCGAACAATTTGTGACTGGTTGAAGGCCAACCATGCCCTTGTGGAAGAGATACATGAGATAAATCGACGCCTCATAGATACTGTGGTTGATATCAGCAATGAAGATGTTGATCCAACTGCAGTAGCTGCTGCAGCTGATGGTGGTGAAGGGACCATTGTCAAGTGCTCTTTCAGTGCTGTAGCTCTTAGCCCAAACCTGAAATCACAGTATGCTTCAGCACGGACGGTAAGATTCTTATGCTTTTTAGTTAGAATGCTAGTGTGCCACTCATTTCTGTTAGTAGCATCAGGCCTTAGTTTATTTGTCTCTTCAATGTTGTTTCAGTCACCAATTCAGCCTCTGCGATTGCTCATTCCAACTAATTATCCTGATTCCTCTCCTATACTCTTGGACAAGTTTCCAGTTGAAGTTAGGTAAGTAACATAATATGTGGGTCTTATTCAATTCTGTGTTTTGATCTGTAAATAGACATTTATGGATACCTTTATCTTGATATTTATTTATAGCCAAACTGCACTAGCCATCATCTGTGGTGGCAAGGATTGGAAGGATAATATAAGAAACATGAAGTAGACCCTAGAGACCCTGCCATGTATTTGGATATATGGGTGGATGTGGGGTTCTGGAGATAGAACAGGCTCAGAGGGAGGAAAAGGGAGATGGGATTGGGGGGGGGGGGGGGGGGGGGGAGGAGAGAGAGATAGAGAGAGACAGAGGTCCAATTGCTGTTGAACCTCTCTGCACCTTTTGACATGGAATGCCCAATTTAAAAGCAGTCATTCTTTCGATGGATGTGTACAATTGATGCGATGATAGGATAACATGCAGTCAAATATGAATTGATATAGTTAATCAGGTTATCGATTATCTATAGCTGTGACACGAAAAGGTTTTTCTTTGTTCCTTTTTGTGCTTTGAAGGTTCTTGAAGCGACAAAACATCTGTCTTTTTGTAATACCGCTGACCACTCATTTCTTTTCCCCTCATTTTTTGTACTTCTTGTAGCTTCAATTAGATCTCTTCACTGAGATTGTATCAAATAAATCTTATGTGCAGTAAAGAGTATGAAGATCTTTCTATTAAAGCCAGGTCCAAGTTCAGTATATCACTGAGAAGTCTTTCACAGCCTATGTCACTTTTGGAGATGGCAAGGACGTGGGACATTTGTGCTCGTGCAGTTATTTCAGAATTTGCACAACAAAGTGGTGGAGGAACTTTCAGCTCAAAATATGGGACTTGGGAGAACTGTGTGAGTGCAGTTTAGTGATCAGCGGTATTTCAAGTGGAACTACAGGAATTAGAACGATAATGATTTGGACAATCGTACTTTCAGCTGTTTCTTTTCAATGAAGTTTGCATTGATCATGATTGTTTATAGCTTCTCAATGAAGGTTGTAGAACCCAATGGCAGTAGAGATACAAAACCATCTAGTATACAATTGGGAAGGTAAAACTTTGTACTGCATGTGAGTATTCTGAGTGCCAGTTGAGTAATTATTCTAAGTAGTGCTAAATGCTGAATTTATTGCGAAGTGTGTCACAATTTCATTGTTTTGTACTGATTTCTGATAACAAATTTCTAGGTTGTGCGGCAATGGTTAAGATAAATGAATGTAGTTTTTTTTTTTTGGGTGGCTTTGGATTAAGGAATGCTGAATATATTGCGAAGAGCGTCACATTTGCATTGTTTTGTACTGATTTCTGAAAGACGATCTTCTAGCTTGTGCAGCAATGGTTAAGATAAATGAATGTAGGCTGCTTTTTTTTTTTTCTCCTTTTTCGTTTTATTTTCGTGGCTTTGGATTGGGCCGTATTACTAACCAATTCTATCCACATGGTTCTTCTTTCATTCTTGCTTACCTTTTTAATAAAGGCAAATAAAAAAAAGGAAAGTGACCAGTGCAGCTTGAGGGATATATGAATGGTTAGGAGGAGTCTTTTAACAGAAATATCTGCTTTGTTATTAACCGCCATTCAGTAACCATGGAATCATACAAAAGAAAGGTTGGAGTATTGAACATGCCCACAATGACAAGAAGGCTCTATTACCTACAAAACAAAAGTTTTTTAATTGGATGGGAGTCTTTATATAGTGACTTCTGGTGACCTAGGTACATGGTGAATTGATGCACAAATAGATATATTTAGGATTATGGCCACGTTGGTGTTGGTTTTACCAAATTAGTTTTGCTTACAGTGTCAATTGTTTTTTCCTTTTATGGTGAAGAAAAAAATTCTATATTTGTAGTATTGTGTTTTCTTATGTTGGATATTAGGAAAGGATGCAAGTAAAAGATTCTAGATTTGAATCCTCCCACTTATTGTGACGCCCTCACCTCTCGCTAGGGCGAATCCTAGGGTATTAGCGGGACGGTTGCTCAACTCTCGTCGGAATTCACGCACTCGTTCAAACTTAATATAGAGCCACAAAACAACCATTGATTTAATTAAGAAGTACTTCGAATATACAAGTCACAACTTCTAAGCTAAAAGTTATGATTACAATCCATCAACCAACAATAGTAAAATTACACTTTAAGAGCCAAGAAAAGTTCATACAAAAGGTATACTAGCATCCACCAAGTCGCTAGTCTAGAACCTCCAATCCACCTCCAAAGCCTGATAAGGAAAACAAACTTAAAGGGATGAGCGAATGCTCAGTGAGACCAAGAAAATGAACATGCAAGTAAGTAACACTAATCAATCAAATAACATGCTTTAAATAACTTTTAAACGTGACATTTCATTTAAGTGCACAAGTAGAAATAACACACAAGGAAGGATACAGAAACTCTCAAGAGCTCTTTCCACGTCTCGACCGATTCAAGCCATTTAGGGTTGACTCTCCGTCAACTCATGTAGTAACATGACCGTAGTGCTCCACTTACTACCTCCATCCAACAACACCCACTCGGATCAGTAACCAAATATTCATGTAATGGCGATACTATTCGAGTATGTCTAGCGAGATCTCAGAAGATCAAGCTATATCATTTCCCAAGGTTCACTGAGATTTTCGACCAAGCCCTTGCCAGATCGAATCACAAGGTTAGCCAGTGGGTTGGACGTCCCCACAAGTATGATTGGTCGATGAGACAATACTCCAATCGACTTAAAATCGTTCATAGCACTGAATCGGGATGAGCGGTACCTCCCACCCAAATAGGACGTGATACATCTAGCCGCTCAGTGCTCACGAGTTAAAACATTTCGAGTACAAGTGCAAGTCATATATATTCATTTAACAAGTATCATTCAATCACAAGAAAGAGAGGACGAGAGCGATAAAGTACACCTTCGTCTCGGCAAATTCACGTATCATATAGCACTTGTACCAATATCATTTCAATCACATTAACACTGAACATGCACTTGACACGCACTACAAGTCAAGGGCAAAACAAGAGCAAAGTGAGAAGTCAGACGAGCTCTTCGGCGTTCTCGTGACCACCTGAGACATGCATAAACATCATTATCTAGGTACTCGACCAAGATTATAAAGAAAACATTTTCTCGCTACCCACTCTCAAGGTCACAAGTTCGAGTCAAATTAAAAGAGTTTTTCTCGTTAAATCATTGAAATAATACTCAAAGAGAATTTAAAGGCCGTTTTCGAGTTAAGTCATGGTAGGTAATCTCAATTCCAAAAGAAAGTACCGTATTTACTTTTGGCACGAAAATTGAAAAAAAAGGTAGATAGTCTCCATCTCCCAAAACTTTTAATCTCATGTCCAAAAGTTAGAATATAAAGAACGTTCATATTTTCCAAACTAATGGAGTCAAAACTCATCCAAATCTCCACTCATTTCATAGAAAATGTCAAGGCTAAAGGTTCCAAATTTCGAGTATAAAACTAGTGAAATTCTCCAAGAATTACTCTAGTTAAAATGCTCCCTTTTTGAAATTCAAACTCATGAGAATCGAGGGCATAAGGATAGGGGTGCTATTAACCAAGGAAATTAACAACCAAGAAAATGCATCAAGAGAGGTTTAATCCTTTGGAAACCAAGATTCAAAATGAAGGTTTAAAGTTCAAAAGTGACCTTGTGTCAAACCATGAAATTAAACTTAAAACGGACTACAATCTCAAAGGGAGGTTGAAAGTGTTTAAAAGAGTACTTTGGTTGAAACCAGAAAATTTTCAGCTTGGTGCGACACTAATTGGAAAAATCATATCTCGAGTTCCGTAAGTCCAAAAATTGGAAACTTTATACCTTTGAAAACTAGACTCAATGTACTAAAACTCTCTAGAAGATACTTTTCTCATACTCTAATTCGAAATCATTCAAATTTTAGCTCAAAGCCACTGTTCTAGACAGGACATAGCAAAACAGGCTTGCAATTTCAGCAATGTTTGGAAATTCAGAAAAATTTGTAGAAATGGAATCAACCCTTGAAATTTATACCACTAATAGAATTCCAAATCTAGTTTCAAATGCAATAAACAGAACCCAATTCGGACCTTTCTACATCAAGATACAATGGTTTTAAGAAAACTGAATTTTGGAACCTGTTGCACGAAATTTCCAGTTTTGAAGGCTTGACAGAGTTTCAAAATCTAGTCATAACTAAAGCTACACAACTAAAAATTTAGTGTCGTTTGTGGTGTTGAAAACTAGATTCAAAGTGCTACAAATCACTAGAAGGAACTGTCTTAAAATTTGTTTCACAAGATAGGTGAAATTGAGTTACAAACTGCAGCCAGGCTTGTTTCTCGGATGAAAATAGTGAGGAAATTTAGTCATCTTTGCCGGTTCACTATGGCTCATAGGAAACAAATTTGAGGTGCATTTTATACCCTACGGAAAGCCCTCGGAGTCTAGTTTTGGAGGCCACAAATGGCACTCGATTTCAACTTCTAGACAAAAAAGTTATGACCTAAAACGTGAGCACTGGTCGGGTCTCCTGGTCCGAAAATTTTCCAGATTTCTTCCTCACTTAAACCCTACTTTAACTCAACCAATTGTAAAGCTTTTTGGGAGATATTTAACACACATAAGCACCATCATATAACAAACATTATAGCACTAAAACAACAACAAAATTCAAAATTAACATGAGGGTTTCTGTGAGACCCCAGTCAGTTCTTAAGTTTGATATTAGGTTATATTCATTATTTGTGCGGTAACATTAGGTTTTGGGACTAATTCGAAAACCCTAAGTTGGGGGTTAGTATTGAAACCTTAGTTTTTGTATTAATCATAAGTTCGAGTGGTGATTAAAGTTAGTTATGCTAGTGTGTGTTTTAGTGTGGGTAAGTATATGATTTGATCCATTTTATATAGGTTAAGTGAGTTTAAAAGTTAGAAAACCCTAAGCTAGCAAAACCTTTAGTGTTATGATTTATTAGAAGTTTTAAGTTGGGTTTAACCCCTAATTTTTGCCTTGACAAAAAGGTTATTGTTTAATTGCTTTTATGTGGGATAAAGTATGTTTAAGTATAGGTGATTAATATAGGAGGGTGATTAGTGAAGTAATTAAGTGTGGTTAAGTGTTTTAGATTAGATTAAGTTATAACCTATGGAGTTAATTGAAAGATTATCCAATGTTTGGGGGAAAAGGAGTAAGAAAGAGAAAATAAAGGTGTAAGGGTTAAGAGGCAATAAACAAGCTTTCATTTGATTGGTTGAATGATAAATATCTTTCCTAAGTGGTCTTGCACCACATATTAGTCTCAAGGGCCATAACTAAGTCATTATTGAGACAAAACAAAACAAAACAAGAGAGAGCAAGAGAGAGGTGGAGCCGTGGAGAAGGAAGAGAGAAACCAAGGGGAATTTTGCTAAGTTCAACCAAATTTCTTCCATAGATTTTCATCTTGAGGCATAAAGAGTCCATCTTGGAGCTAGCTTGAGTTTCTTAGCCATCATACAACCTTCATCTTGAGGTAAGAAAGCTTCTATACAAAGTTAAAGGTGGTTGATGATACTTGAAATGGTGGAAATGATGATAATAGTTGTTAGTTGTGATTGATTATGGTTTCACTTGTGTTTATCACTTGTTTTTATGGAGTAATTTGGTTAAATTTGGGCCTTGATGATTCGGCTATAGGAGCCCTAATTAGGGTTTCATGCTAAACATGTTGGTTGGCCTTAATCTTGTGTTATTGAACTTGTAGTGGTTGTGTTTGATGATTGGTTTCTTTGGGTTGGTGAGTGAATGGTAAAAACTGATTTGGGTTAAGAAACCCTAGGCTTCCTTAGGTTAGTTTAGCTTGGCTAATGTTTAGTGAGTTAGGGTTTGGTTAGTAGGTTGATAGATTAAGTTTAGTGATGCAAATAAAGTTAAGTTAGGGATTATGGTTAGTTTTTGGGCAATTTTGTAGTGACTTAGAGGGGAAGTTTTGGACCATTTGTAGGTCATTTAGAAGTTAGTATATGTGTGTTTATTTGGTATGAATTGGGTTGGAAATCGTGTATAAGAACCATAGAAATGAACCATGCGTTTGCGACGTACAAAACCGGCAAATCTGGAAAAACAGGGCAGCCCACAAATCCGAACTTGAGTTCCATTTTTATTTATGCTGCGTGTGGATTCAGAAGTTTCTCAAAACA